ATGTACCTGTCTACTTTCTCTTGTTTAAAAAAAAGAAAAAAAAACTTAAAAAAATGGGGTTATAGAAGGTCAGCAAAGGGTGGGTTTGAGATGTTTGGGTGGGTTAAGTGGGCATTTTGACAACATGGCTTCTCCTTTGGCATGTTTAATTGTGATGTTTAACGGACATCCTTGCAGTTTAAGATGACACTTTTAAAATAAAACTCTCTCCTAATGATGACTTGAGCCCTGCCACTCGATGGGAGAATCAGCAGAACTTGTAGGATCTTATTTGGAATTGACATTCTCTATTGTAATTTTGTTCCTGTTTATTTTTAAATTTTCTTTTTGTTTCACTGGAAAGGAAAGATGATGCTCAGTTTTAAACGTTAAAAGTGTACAAGTTGCTTTGTTACAATAAAACTAAATGTGTACACAAAGGATTTGATGCTTTTCTCTCAGAACAGGTGTATTTAATATGATTTTCCAAGTTTGACTTGTATAACGTATTGTCAAACTTTGTCACCCTGACTCCGTATTTTTTGATACACACTTTGCAGGGTGACCTCAGGGCTGTGTGGACTGAGAAAGGGATCTGAATCAATGTATTAATGTCTCCAAAGCCAGGAGCCATCGTGGGTACAGTTTGCCGTCAGTTTCTGAAATCTTCCACATCAGTCGGGATACCAGATTGCTCAGAACTCAATTCTGATTATGTTGTGCCCTTGATTTGTGTCTCAAATTGGCATTTTTAAAAATGGGCCTTTATTTACCTGGATATAATAATAGTGCCTGCCACCACCATCAGACAGACCTGGTGCTCTAATGCCAAGTTACACACAGGGCAGTTACTGGCGCGTCTTCGTTGGTACTATGAAGTGTGGCCGAGAAGACAGACTCTCAGTAAGAAGTCCGTATTGGTGGTAAGAAACTCAGGAGTACTTTTGTCTCAAAGTACTAGCTATTTAGCATATAGCTCTCAAGCGAGGCCTGTCTGTGTGAATCCGGGTGAGATGACAGGCCCAGCTCTGCTAAATGCCGTTGTGCATAGGATACCATTTTGGGAAGCTACCTAATGCATAAGCTTTTTAATGCTGTAAATTATAGTAGCTAAAATTAAATGCCACTTAACTTTTTCAGAGATGAATTAATGGACAGCCTGGTCAAATTCAAAGCTTTTTGATGTATAAAACTTTATAAATGGAACTATTCCATCGATAGGCAAAGTGTAATGAAAACCTGTCTAGATGGATAGTATGTAATTTCTGCACAGGTCATGTTTAGTAATACATTACTGTATACCGGTCAGGAATCTTGCTCCAATAAAGGAACATAAAGATTTTTTTTGACTGGGGTCATTCTCGTTTTGTAGAGACATGTTAACTTGCTCTTGGATTGAGATAATAAGGAAGTTTTTCCGTGTGACTTGCATTCACAGCGACGGGAAGGGGGGAACCGCTCTTCAAATTGTACAGTGTAGTAGAGAGAGCATCTGTACGAAAGGATAGATAAAAAGTTCATGGAAAAAAACTTCTTTGGAATGTAGTTAGTTCCTGAAGGGATTGAGTATTTTCCTATTGAAGTCTCAACATTTAAAGGACTCTTGGCTAGCCAAAAGAAAAAAAAAAAAACAAGTAGTCACTTGAATTACTCATTAAGTAGGCCTGTAATATTTGTTTCTCAAAGTTACAGCTTACTAAAACTGACAGATGGTGAATTCAGAGCGCTGTCAGGTTATAGGTCACATATAATCTTAAAATATTCCTTTACTTTTGAGCAGGTGATTTAAGAAAGTAGCCCTTAAAAGAGAACTTCCTCCCTTGGGGCACTTGGGTGGCTCAGTGGGTTAAACCTTTGCCTCTGGCTCAGGTCATGATCTCAGGGTCCTTGGGATTTATCCCCACATAAGGTTCTCTGCTCAGCAGAGAGCCTGCTTTCCCCTCTCTGCCTACTTGTGATCTCTTTCCCTGTCAAATAAAATCTTTTTTAAAAAAAGATAATTTCCTCCCAGCTATTGAGACCACCTTTGAGACTGCCCCATCCCTGCAAATCTGTGAAGGATCCTAGGCTGTGAGGCAGGCAGGTGGCAATGTTAGTGTACTAGAAAGTGCTACACAGTAGCAAGGGCGCTTTGTGCCCCATTGCAAGAGGGGTTCCTGGGCTGGCCCTTAGGTGTGTATTGGAAAGTGCCAAATGAATGGCTTAAAACTCCTTTGGTACAAGGACATTTCAAAAGAAAAAGGGCAAGTGTTGGCTGTTGAGGTACTTTCTTTGGGAAGAAGGCATCTTCCAAAGCTGTGCCAGACTTTGCTAAACTCTGTGAACTGGGGCACAGAGGATAATGTATCTATCTGGTAATGTATCCTTAGGTTTCATTTCAAACCTGAAGGAACATGTTATTTTAGACCATCCGTGCAATTGAGGGGGTTTCTCCAAGGATGTTCTGATTTCCGAAAGACTGAACTGTTCCCTGACCTCTGTGATAGGCCCTGCAGTTTGACCCAGCTCTGGCTCTAGGATGTAGAGTCGTAAATGTCCGCAGAATCCTGTCTCTTTAGGTTGCCATTGGTTTTATATCTGGCCTGTTCCACTTGTGTTAGCTGTCAGGCTGCCAAAAGTTAGATTTTTGACTTGATGGATTTGGGGGGCATTTTGGGCTTCAGAGGATTCCTAGCCAATTGTGTTTCTGAACTAATTTGGTAATTTTTATCATTACTGCTTTATAACAACTGGTTTCAGGGTTTCACTTGGTTCTAGAAACATAGGTTTAGTTTTTCTGACTTTTCTGTTAGCTTTTGGTATGACGTCTCTCTGCTCATTTCAAGAATGGAATTCTGTTGCAAAGGGTGAAAACTCTCAGGGTTTCTGAAGATCAAGACAAGTTATTTAGGAGATAAATGGATAGCCATTCCAGTTGTTTAAAGAGGACATCTTACCCCTTGGAAAAATACACCCCCCTCCAACCCCAGCAGTGACCATTCCTTTTCGAACATGTATCTGTGTTCATGAAGACCTACAAGTGTGATTAGAGCAAGAATAATGAGGGTGTTGTCAACTTGATTAGTTGGTGACATTGCGTACTCCTACTACCTACCCAAGGGAGGGAAATCTAAACATAGATGGATTGACGTTTCCAATACCGGGGATGAAAAAGTATAGAAAGAAAAACATTTTTAATGTACTCTGCTAGGAAGTTTTACAGTATTTTGGGTTGATGTTTATATAGTTTTAATAGCCAATTAGCTAGAGAGTTCAATATCCACTGGATATTGAATGTGAAGTGAACTTCAATTTTCTCAAGAATTAGTTTCATGAAGTGCCATCAGACAGAATGAAGCTATCTGATCTGACTCCTCCATCAGCCTAGGATTTGGTTTCCTTGTGGGTTTGCCCAGTCTGAGATTCATGGATTCTGCTACTTCTGAGTGCCTTTCCTTTATTGACCAGTTAGTGAAACACACGGCAACGTTGGAAAATCATTTTGAGTTTGTTCACATAATTCAGCTTTCTTGGCTGTAAAAGATAAATGATGGGAGAGAGGTACCCGCTGAAAAGAGGATATTGGGGCGCCTGGATGGCTCAGTTGTTAAGCATCTGCGTTCGGCTCAGGTGGTGATCCCAGGTTCCTGGGATTGAGCCCTGCATCGAGCTCTCTGCTCAGCGGGAAGCCTGCTTCTCCCTCTCCCACTCCCCCTGTTTTTGTTCCCTCTCTCTGTCAGATAAATAAAATCTTAGAAAAAAAAAAGAAAAGAGGAGCTTAGCTTTCCCTCAATCCTATGACCTACAGTTAGGAACTGATAGTCTTTTTTTGGTTCTAAATTATCCTTAATCAACATTCAGCTCAGTGCAACTTAATAATAACCCATTTAAAAGAGCCTACTATGTGCTGTTGTCTAAGCCCTCGGTAACTGATGTGCCCATGTGTAAAAGTGTCTCGACTTGCCTCTATGAAGTGTGGGCATGCCACCCCCCCCCCCCACTAAAGCGAGTTGCGTTTGCATATGTTGGTGTCCTTGGTTAATTTCCCATTGCAGGACAACCCAGGATTGTCCATGGCTTGTCAGTATCTCCTCCACTCTGTTGGGGAAGTGGAGAGAATGAAGAGGAACTCACATTTTCTTCAGTAAAAGCACTGGAGGGCGCCTATTCCAAGTCAGCAAATCAGCCATTCAATATTTGACCCCTACTCCCAGCCCCTTGGACCAGACTCCTTCCAGTGAAGTCCTAGTCATAGTGCTGGTTAGCACAGGATCCTAGAATTCCCACACAGGCAAGCCACTGCCAGATTGGTTCGTGCCCACCGGTTGGCTTTCCTGAAATTGGGGGTATTTCCTAAGATGTAAATGTGTCTTCTGTTTGGATGCGTTCTTTAGGGCAAGGAAAGAATGGTGGCTCTGGTTGACCCAGAAAGCTCCACTTTGGTTGAGTGGCAGGGGCCTGAGAGATGTTTGGTTTTATTTATTTATTTTTTAAGATTTTATTTAATTCTTCAGAGAGAGAGCACAAGCAGGGGGAGAGGCAGAAGCAGACTCCCCTCTGAGCAGGGAGCCCAGCGTGGGGCTGGATCCCAGAACCCTGCGGTCATGACGGGAGCCAAAGGCAAATGCTTAACCATCTGAGCCACCCACCCGGGTGCCCCGACATATTTGGTATCTTCACCTGTCATTTGTAATTTGGCGTGATTTGGGTGAAGCTTTACTTTCTTGAGACGCATACATTCTTAGAGTAGTGACTCTACACAGGGCCAAGACTTCGTGGGGCGACAAGTTTAGGATTAGCCCATTTGACACAAGGACCTAAGACGATGAGATGATAAATTTTCGGGGCGGGAAGCCGGTGGTGGCGGGGCAGCCTGCGGGGACCGGGCGGGCCGCACAGCAGGGTCCCGTGGCCGGCAGGCGGCGCTATCGCCGCCCGGCCACCCCTCAGGGCGCTAGAGAACCCCGGCCCGGGAAATGTCCCTTCCTGCCCTTCTGTCCCGGGCCAGGGGTCCGCGTCACACCGAGCGGGAACCGCGGCCTCAGGAAAGGGACACTGGGCCCCAAAGTCCGCGGACCGTGGGAGCCGGGGAGGCGCGGGGGCCCCGGGTTGGGGAGTAGGGTCCCGGGCGCTGACCTCTCGCGCCGAGAGGCGGCGCTGATCCCAGGTCCCGCGAGGGCCAGCGGACTTCGGGAGGGGGCGCCCGATCCCGCGGCTCCGGCTCCGCTTCCCGGGAAGTTTCAAGTTTGAAAGTCCTGGCGGAGGGGCCGGGGCTTCCGGAACGGCAGTGGTCGAGAGGAGGGGCGGTGCGGCCAGAGCGGCGCCATGGAGGAGGGGGCGCCGCGGCAGGTGAACGGCGCCGGGAGAGGCCGGGCTGCGGGCGCGGGCCGAGGGGCTCGGGAAGTCTCATGCACGCCGCGGGCGCCCCGAGCTCCGGCCGCGGCGCCGAGACCCGACCCCCAGCCCCTGCCCGGTCCATTCTCAGCCCCGGCCCCGGGCTTCGCTACACCTCGCGGGGCAGAGCTGAGCATGGGGGTGAGTCGTTCAGGCCCCCTGAGAACGTCCCTAAATCACCCCCAAGTGACTCAGAGCCTCCAGTCAGGCCAGCGCATGAGCACCTCCGAATCCGCAGTCAGGGCCACCGGGATGGGCCCCAAAGTTTCCTACAATCGGCTCTTCCCCGTGGGACCGTAGGACCGTGGGAATCTGTCTGGAAAGCAAAGGGGGGCCGTGGGGGCACACTGGGCCAGTCCTGGGGGGAGAGGAATGTGTGTGCGCTCAGGGGGAAGAGGCCCGAGGAGGGGGCCAATCTCTGCGCACTTGTGGGGGTCCTCCCCAGATCACAAAGGCATGTGGGGATTGGACACGAGAATGGGGGGTTCTGGCCCAACACCTGGGAGGGAACCTTGGGTCCACAGGGGGTTCTAGTTCAAATGGCTAGCGGGGAGCCCGGGGCGGGGGCGCCCTTAGTAGGGGCTGGTGGACACAGCAGCCAAAGCTGTGTGTTTGTCTGTCAGTGGTCGGGGAGGGGGGGAGGTCCACCCAGAGCAAATGTAGAGCTGAGAGGCGGCCTGTGTCCTTGGCAGGATGCCAGAGCAGTTAGGACCTGGGGAATGCCAAGGGTAAAGTGTAAAATGTCCCCCATAAGATTCCTGGAGAACCCCCACCCAGTGTCTTAGGCAGCCTTAAGCACTCCTCTGCCCCCTCCCACCCCCTTCCTCCGGAGGTCCCTCAGCCTGTTTCAGCCATGGCTTGTACACATTTTCCTATTTCCTGTGAACCTCCGCCCAACAGCGGCAGCTGGGTGACTCAGGACCCTGGTGGCCGGGCCCCCCGCTCCATGGGATCTTTGTTTGCTCAGGCCTTTGGCTCTGGCCCTCTGGCCTAGGGCCCTCAAAGGATTTCCTGAGTCCCGCCCCTGCCCTCTGACAGCCAGGCCAGCAGGCCAGCGCAGGCCTGGGGTCGGATGGGGGTTGTCCCTGAGGCTGGGGTGGCACCCCTAGCACTGGGCGCAAGAGATGGAGACCCAAGAGGTAAGGTGGAGGCCCCAAAGGAGTCCATGGGGAGTGGGGGGCATCGTGGGTCACTCTGGACTGAAGTCAGCTTTGGCACTAGTTGGTTCGAAATGTTGGCTTCTGAGAAGGAGCCTTTCCTCTTCCTTGCTCCCACCTGGGGTGAAGTGTGAGAAAGCTTCTACTTCCTCCTAGAAGCTGAGCTGGGAATGGCCTCCCGAGCTCTCCTCTGCCCCTCTCTGTGCCTCTGCTTTGCTACCTGCCGGAACATTCCTACTCAGGCCTCTGGCTGCCCTCTGTGTGTGACCTTGGGCGGTTCCCTAGCCTCCTTTCTGGCCCCAGATCTCAGCGGGAATTGTAGCCTTAGAGATGGCAGCCCGATGGGTTGGTGGGCAGAGGGTGGACTCCCCTTCTTGGTGCTGTGACCTCGGGCAAGTTATTCAGCCCCTCTGTGTCTCAGCTTCCCCATCTGTAAAATGGGGATAACAACTATACCTACCCCATGGGGTTGTTGTGAGGATTCGCAAATTAATGTCTGCAAAGCTCGGAACAGACCCCGACACCATGTACTATTGTCCCTTGAACAACCCAGGGGTCCGGGGCACTGACCGGCCCCCCGCTCCCCGGGGAGTTGAAAATGCACGTATATCTTTTGACTCCCCCAGAACTTAACTCCTAATAGCCCTACTGGTGACCGGAAGCCTTACCCATAACATCAACCGTTGACTAACACCTGTAACGTGCATCACGTGTACCCTGCACGGTATTCTTACAATAAAGGAAGCTAGAAAAAGAGGAAATGTTATTAAGAAAATCGTAAGGAAAAGAAAATACATTTACAGCTCTGGGCTGTATGTATGGAAAACAATTTGCTTGTAAGTGGACCCATGCGGTTCAAACCCGTGTCGTTGAAGAGTTGACTGTAGGCAGGACGAATTTTTCCCTTTCCCTCCTCTCTCGTAGCAGAGGGAGGGAGCACGGGTAGGGGACACAGCTTTGGGGTTCGCATCTGGCCCGGGGATACTATCTGGAAGGTCAGAGATGCCTCCCGAGATCGGGGGCTCCATCCTGGCTGCCGGATGGCACCAGGCACACCTCCGTTTGGGGGGACCCGCGGCCGCTGGTGGCTGGGATGGGAGGGGGCGTTACTGCTCTGCCATTCCACAGCCTGGAGCCGACCAGCGGCCCCCTGAGGATGAGAAAGAGGTGATCCGCCGGGCCATCCAGAAGGAGCTGAAAATCAAGGAGGGGGTAGAGAACCTGCGGAGGGTAGCCACGGACCGCCGCCACCTGGGCCACGTGCAGCAGCTCCTGCGTTCCTCCAACCGCCGCCTGGAGCAGCTGCACGGAGAGCTGAGGGCGCTGCACGCACGCATCGTGCTGCCGGACCCCGGGCCGGGCCTGGCCGGTGAGTGGGAAGTCGGACCCTCGGGGGCAGGAGGTGCTGCGCCCACCTAGCTCCTTGACCTCAGCCCTGACCCCTCTCAGAGCCTCCTCAGGTGTCACTCTGGCTAGGAGGGGTGGGGAGGGGTGGAGAGAGTGAGGCCCCAGGGCAGGGGGCTATGGGTCTGGGTCAGGGCCTGGGTCAGGGCTTAACGGCCCTGCTCTGTGCACAGAGCCTGTGGCCCCAGGCCCGCCGCCCCCCGTGGAGCAGCCCAGGGCTCGGCACCTAGAGGCTCTCCAGAGGCAGCTGCAGGTCGAGCTGAAGGTGAAGCAGGGGGCAGAGAACATGACCCGCACGTATGCCACCGGCACACCCAAGGTAAGGCTCCTGGGGTCTGGGGGAAGAGTTGTGGCTCTCAGATTGTTAGGGGAGGGGCTGCCCCAGCCCCCATTCTGAGAGGGAATGGAGCCGGGCCAGTGACCCTCTAAGGGAGACACAGTCTTAGCCATTAGTCTGATGGGGGAGGCATAGCCCTTAAATCTCAGCTCGGTGGGGCAGGCGCAGCTTGACGTCCTAATCTAACAGAGGGGCCCCAACTCGGTCTAATGGGGAAACCCCAGGCCGTGTTCCCGGTGTAGGAGGGAAGGCCCAGTCCTGGCCCTGACTCCGAGTGGGGAGCCTGGTCCTGATGTAATGGGGGAAGCTTGACCCCAGCTCTTGTCTGATGGAGGAGGCCTCCATCTGATGGAGGAGGCTCTGCCCCAGACCGAGGCTAACAAGGGAGGCTTGGCTTCAGCTTTGGTCCGACAGGGGAGGCCCCGGGCCGGCCCTGGATCAGTGGGGCCATATGTCATGACCCTACAGGAGAGGAAACTCCTGGCAGCGGCCCAGCAGATGCTGCGGGACAGCCGGCTGAAGGTGGCCCTGCTGAGGATGAAGATCAGCAGCCTGGAGGCCAGTGGGGCCCCGGAGCCAGGTGAGGCTTGGAGAGGCGCGGCTGGGCGGGGCTGGGCGGGGCTGGGCGGGGCTGGGCCTGAGGGCTGACCCCCTCCTCCCAGGTCCCGAGCTGCTGGCAGAGGAGCTGAGACACCGGCTACGCATTGAGGCCGCTGTGGCTGAGGGAGCCAAGAATGTGGTGAAGCTGCTGGGTGGCCGGCGAACGCACGACAGGAAGGCGCTGGCCGAGGTCAGACGGGGTGCCCTCCCTTCGTGACCGCTGCTCTCTGAGTGTCGGCTTGTCCCCACGCCACCCTCTGCACCGTGGTCGGGCTGTGCGGGGCAGCAGTGAGGAAACCGGACTCACGCTCTGTCTGGCTTTCATTGCGGGCAGGTGGCCTGAGCCCCCGGCCCTGGCCGCCGCGTTCATGGGCCTGTCCGCCCTTCCTGTTTCGGCTCCGCAGGCTCAGGCCCAGCTCCAGGAGTCCTCCCAGAAGCTGGACCTCCTGCGGCTGGCCTTGGAACAGCTGCTGGAGGGACTTCCTCCGGCTCATCCTCTGCGCGGCCGGGTGGCGCGGGAGCTGCGGACCGCTGTGTCTGGGAAGCCCCAGCCCTCGGGAGTGCTTGTGAAGCCTACCGCTGTGACAGGTAGCCAGGAGTTCCTCCCACATCAGGGCTCCCCTTTTCTTCCAGCGAGGGCCCTGAAACACAGAAGGGGTAGAACTCTGGAGAAAGAGTTTCAATCCAGGTCCCACTACCCGCTAGCTGCGTGAGCTTGGGCAATGGACTTCTGCTCTCTGGACCCTTAGGTTTTGTTTTCGTTTTTTTTAAAGATTTTATTCATTCATTTATTTGACAGAGAGAGAGATCACAAGTAGGCAGAGAGGCAGGCAGAGAGAGAGAAACAGGCTCCCCGCTCAGCAGAGAACCTGATGTGGGGCTCGATCCCAAGACCCTGAGACCATGACCTGAGCCGAAGGCAGAGGCTTTAATCCACTGAGCCACCCAGGTGTCCCTGGACCCTCAGTTTATTTTTCCCTGTCAAATGGGGATGACAGCTCCTATTTCATGGGGTTGCTGTGAAAGTCAGCGAGTTGTGGCGTGGGAAGTGCTAGGCACACTGTTGGCATTGTCCACACGCAATTGGCGAAGCCGTTATTTACGTGAGTAACCATGACAGTGGTTAAAGCACCCATGTTCGGGGAGCTCACAGCGCTGGCGGCAGTGGTACCCAGTCCTGGGCAGTTTGGACTACTAGAAAGTTGTTTTTTATCCCGGAGCTGGATTTGTCTGAATTGTAGCTGAATTCTAATCAACAAATAATCTAAGCATGCTGACTTTGGAAACCCTGAACTTCCTACCCAGGACACAGGGCCAGCCAGAGAGCCCAGTACCTTCCCTGCTCAGGGCTGGTTCAGGGTTAGATAGGCCACATCCCATTGTGAACAGAGCTGAGAAGGGGAAGTACAGGGGCTGCATAGGCTCCCTCATCTGGCTTTGGGAATTCAAGGAATGCTTCCTAGGAGGTGATATCTACACTTAGCCTTGAAGGACTTCTGGGAATTGGCCAAGTAGACAAGATGGGCAAGGCAGGGCAGGGCATGGCTTGTTAAAAGGCCTAGAATTCATCTGGGTGCTTGGGGCCACCTTATATACTGTCTCTTGGCTAGCCCCCCTCCACCCCCAGCTTAAGGTGGGCAAGATCTGGGTTCAGCCATCTTGGGGAGACCTGGGTGTGGCAGAGGGAGAATGACACTTCACGGTGTTCCCCGAACTCTCCCCACAGGGACGCTGGAGGTCCGCCTCCTGGGCTGTGAGCAGCTGCTGACAGCTGTGCCTGGACGGTCCCCAGCGGCCGCGCTGGCTGGGAGCCCCTCCCAGGGCTGGCTCCGGGGCAGGGCCAAGCCGCAGCGTGGTGGAGGAGACCTGGCCAGTGAGTAGGGGGCCACAGGGAGCTGGGGACAGCAGACAACCTCCATTCCTTGCCTGCCCTGAGCTCCCTGTCTGGCCCTGCAGGTGAGGTGCTGGCCGTGCTGAAGGTGGATAATCGTGTCGTGGGCCAAACTGGCTGGGGGCCGGTGGCCAAGCAGTCCTGGGACCAGACCTTTATTGTCCCCCTGGAGCGGGTGAGCCGTGGGGCAGGCAGGTGTGACCTCAGGCCATGGGGCAGAAGGCCAGCCAAGTAGGGACACATGCCATGCCCCACTCCTCAACCTGGCCTCCCCGACGTAGGCCCGGGAGCTGGAGATCGGGGTGCGCTGGCGGGACTGGCGGCAGCTGTGTGGCGTGGCCTTCCTGCGGCTGGAGGACTTCCTGGACAATGCCTGTCACGAGCTCTCCCTCAGTCTGGTGCCCCAGGGCCTGCTCTTTGCCCAGGTGCCCCCTACCCTGCCCTCTGACCTGACTAGAAGAGCCTTCAAGATGAGGTGACCCATCAGAGTGGAAATTGGGGCCCCAAGGGAGGTGGTCTCCAGGAACTAAGGATTCCCAGCCCCTGTCTGAGGACTACAGGGGAGTCCTCATCTTGGTCCTGACTGCCTAGCCTCACATCCGACCTGGACAAGTGCCTCTCTCCTCTGGACCTCAGTTTCCCCACGGGTACCAATGCAGACAGTGAATCCCTCTCTCTGGGCCCCTCTGGCTCTTGCATCATTGATATTGGGGGCTCAGGCTGGGATCCTAGAGATCAGGGAGGTACCCTCGTGGCAGGTGGGGTGGGAGAAGACTGGTCTCCAGCCCTGCCCTCTGCGCCTGCAGGTGACTTTCTGTGACCCTGTCATTGAGAGGAGGCCCCGGCTGCAGAGGCAGAAACGCATTTTCTCCAAACGCCGAGGTGTGGACAGGGAGAGGGCTGTGCATTTAGGGAGCAGGGCAGGGGCCGTTGGGGGCCCTGGGCTGAGCCCCCCTTTTGTCCCAGGTCAGGACTTCCTGAGGGCTTCGCAGATGAACCTCAGCATGGCGGCCTGGGGACGATTGGTCATGAGCCTGCTGCCTCCCTGCAGCTCCCCAAGCACAATCAGTCCCCCCAAAGCGTGCACCGAGACCCTGTCCACACCCCGGGCTGACCCTGCCTCGCCCAGGTGAGGAGCCGCCCTACCTTGGGGGCCTGCTTCTCTGCCGCATCCACCTCTCTCCAGGTGCAACTGCTGTCTTTCTGTTCCCGTCACTCCCCCTCCGACCCTCCATCTGTCTGTCTCTGGTTTTTGCTGTGCGTCTGTCCCCACTGCTCTTCCATCAGCCTGTGCCCCGCCATTGTCTGCTCTCTCCATGTAGTCATTTCCCACCCAAGAAGAGCCACTTGGGAGAAGAGACAAGGCCCCCGCCCAAGCCCCCACGCCTCTACCTGCCCCGGGAGCCGACCCCCGAGGAGATCCCGGTGAGGGGGTGCTGATGGCCCCAGGGAGCTGCTGGGTTAGGGGTGGCGGGGCTGGAGGGAAAGAGGGTGGGAAGCCCGGCTCTGTTTGAGCCCCTCTGCCCTCACAGCGCACCAAACGTCCCCACATGGAGCCTAGGACACGTCTTGGGCCGCCTCCTCCTGCCTCAGTCACCAGGTACCCACATTGGGCTCACTTTTATACTTAAGACATTTACCTACTCACTTGGGGTGTCCATTCAGACACCATCGGATGCTCCTTGCTGTCAGGTTCTTACTCACTAAAGCCATATTACTGAGCTCCAGCTGCATTCCAGACTCTAGGAAACCGCTATGCCTGGAACCCCCTACCCCCACCCCCAGCTGTCCAGCGTCATTGGTGGGGACAGCCCAGGACTGGACATGGAGGGTTTGGAGCAGCTCTTCATGGAGTCCCAGCTCTTGTCCTGTGCCCTCTGTCTTGCAGGAGAGCCCCCCGGCTTCAGGACTTCCGCTGCTTGGCCGTGCTGGGCCGGGGACACTTTGGGAAGGTAGTGGGCCGAGGAGGGGACCGTGGGAGGAGGTGAGCAGGCCCCAGCACCTCAGCTGAGAGGACACTGTGATCCATGGGGCCGTGGGTGTGGGAAGCAAAGGCAGCCCTGTGCTGTCCACCTGGAGCCTGAGCTCTCTCTGGTCCCCAGGTCCTCCTGGTCCAGTTCAAGGGCACGGGGAAATACTACGCCATCAAAGCGCTCAAGAAGCAGGAGGTGCTGAGCCGGGATGAGATGGAGAGGTGTGTAGTCAGGCCCATGGGCGTCTGGCCTTGGAGGGGATCCTGGATGGCCGGCCTGGGCCAGGGGCACCAGAAGGCTCTGAGCCAGTCCTGGCTTCTCTTTCTAGCACCCACAGCAGTTAACTGGGTGCCCTTGGGCAGGTCCTGCCTTCTCTTGGCCTGATATGTAGAAACCATCATTCTACCACCTGACACTTGGAAGTGCCAGAGAGCCAGGGCTCAGTCAGCAGGGGTCTTCCTTCCCTCCAAACACCCACTCCCCCCATCACAGCCTGTATTGCGAGAAACGCATCCTGGAGGCCGTGGGCCGCACGGGGCACCCCTTCCTGCTCTCCCTCCTTGCCTGCTTCCAGACCTCCAGCCATGCCTGCTTCGTGACCGAGTTTGCAGCTGGTGGCGACCTCATGATGCAGATCCACGAGGATGTCTTCCCTGAGCCCCAGGCCAGGTGGGTGCCCACCCCTCTTATCTGCCTCTCCCAGCAAGCCTTTCCCGGTCCCCTCTGCCCCGCTCCCTTCACCCTGCTTCCCCCAGGGTGCCCAGCAGCAGAATAGTGTGGAGTCAGGGAAGCCTTGGTTCAAACCCTGGTTGTCGCTCTTGTCAGCTCTCACAGCACCTCTGACCTTGGGCCTCAGTTTATGGAGCTGTGAATTGGGCACATGAGAACTAGGTCATAGGCTTATTGGGTAGATGAACCCAATGTTTATAAAGTGTGGAGCACTGGAACCTGTGACTAGTAAGGGAATGGCAACTGGAGTTATTTCTGTTTTCTTTTTTTCTTAAAGATTTTATTTATTTGTCAGAGTGAGAGAGAGAGCGCACAAGTAGGGGAAGCAGCAGGCAGAGGGAGAGGGAGAGGCAGGCTCCCTGCTGAGCAGGGAGCCCGACGTGGGGCTCGATCCCAGGACCCCGAGATCATGACCTGAGCTGAAGGCAGACGCTTAACCGACTGAGCCACCCAGGCGCCCCTGGAGTTATTTCTTGAGTAGCAGAGTGCTGGTTCTGGAGTTTGGGTCTGCCACTAGCTGTGTGACCCCAGGGGCATCCCTGATCTGAGTCTCAGATCCTCCTTTGAAAAACAGATGCGATGAGTATCAGCGGTGCATGGCTGGGAGGATGTGGGAGAGTAAGGCGTGAGGACACGTGGCATCATTCCTGGCACAATCTCAAAGCCCAGGAAGGGTAGGCTGTCAGCGGGCAGCAATGTTGGGGCCACTGTCTGGAGAAGCACCCACTCTCCCCGCCCCCTCCCCCTGGCATCTGACTCTGGCTGGGACATTCAGGGCTGCCCGGGTTGGGGCCATCCTGGTGTCTCCCCGCCCTGCCCACCACAGTCCTGGGTCTGAACTCCCTCTGCCCCCCCCCCCCCCCACCCCATGCCACTCACAGGTTCTACCTGGCTTGTGTGGTCCTCGGGCTGCAGTTCTTACATGAGAAGAAGATCATTTACAGGTAACTTGCCGCAGAGGTGCTGGGGGCGGGGGTGAAAGAGCAGCCACTGCCCTCCTCCTGCGATGCTCTAGGGCCCCTCCGATCCGCCCCCTTACCCTCAGGGACCTGAAGTTGGATAACCTTCTGCTGGATGCCCAGGGTTTCCTGAAGATCGCAGACTTTGGGCTGTGTAAGGAAGGTGGGTCCCTGCTGCCCAGGATTCCCTGTCCTCCAGCGCTGCTCCCCAGCCCAGGCCAGCAGGGTTGTGGCCCACCATCCCCACCCCAGCCCTCATTCCAGGGACCAGCTGGACACATCGGTTTTTGCTTCCCAGCCTGAGAGGCTCTTGAAGAGCCCCAGCCTGCCCTCAGCCAGAGGGAGAGGGCACCAGGTTCTCATTTTCCTTTGTGACCTTGGCATATAAACTTGACTGGGCTCTGCTTTCTCCTGTCAGATGACGTTAAAAACTGCTCCCCCTTCTAGGGTATGGGGCAGGGCTTGGCATGGGTCTCAGTACCTCGGGTCACGAGGGTTGGCTGTTGATTCTCACGCCCACTGAGGCTGTGTGGATGAGACATGCTGGGCTAGCACCAGTGTGGATGCTGGTTTGCAGGGATCGGCTTTGGGGACCGGACGAGCACGTTCTGTGGCACCCCCGAGTTCCTGGCCCCGGAGGTGCTGACCCAGGAGGCCTACACACGGGCCGTGGACTGGTGGGGGTTGGGTGTGCTGCTCTACGAGATGCTGGTGGGTGAGGTGAGCACTGGACCTGGGCTGCCGGGGCTGCTAGGTGGGGGCGGGGGGTGTGCTTAGGCACCCTGGTGAACCCCCTTTCCCCCTAGTGCCCATTCCCCGGAGACACGGAAGAGGAGGTGTTTGACTGTATCGTCAATGCGGATGCCCCATATCCCCGCTTTCTGTCGGTGCAAGGTCTCGAGCTCATTCAGAAGGTGATCACCACGGGGGACTGGGCAGGGCTGGGCTGGACAGTGGCCATGGCTCATGGCTGCCCTGTCACCACCCATTCTCTTGGGGGCCCCGCGGCCCAGCTCACTTGGGGAACGTGGGCAGGTGGGCAGTGCCTGGGGCCAAGTGCCCTCTGTGAGCCCCCGTCTTCTGGCCCAGCTCCTGCAGAAGTGCCCGGAGCAGCGCCTAGGGGCAGGTGAGCAGGATGCGGAGGAGATCAAAACCCAGCCCTTCTTCAGGGTGAGTGGTGCCGGGTGCCGGGTGCCTGGCCCAGGGGGGAGGCATGGCGTGGCCACGTGGGCCGATGTTCATCGTCTCAGGCAGCTCTCCCCTTGCCCCCCCCAGACCACCGACTGGCAGGCCCTGCTCGCCCGCTCCGTCCGGCCCCCGTTCCTGCCCACGCTCTGTGGCCCTACAGACCTGCGCTACTTCGAGGGCGAGTTCACGGGGCTGCCGCCAGCCCTGACCCCGCCTGACCCCCGCTGCCCCCTGACCGCCCGCCAGCAGGCTGCCTTCCGAGACTTCGACTTTGTGTCTGAGAGATTCCTGGGGCCCTGAGGGCCTCTCGGGTGCGTCCACCCTGTCTCCCCAGATGCATGCCCTACCCTGGAGGCCTGGGCCTCCCTGGGTTATTTGTGGGTCTTGGGCCTTGAAGTGGCAGTTGTCGGGGGGGCTTTCCGCTACCACCACCTCCCTCCGCCCAGGAGACCTGGACCAGAAAGGGCAGCACAGCAAAGAGCAGTTGGTTTTTTTAATACTTGACTTGCTTTATAGATTATTAAACTTATAAAACTGTGCACTGGAGGCATCCTGGCTTGGGGGGGCGGGGTGGAGGTCTCCGAAGCCCAGGTCTCTGGTACCTGAGCTCCCCCACCCGTCCTCTGCCTCCCATTCTTCCTTTACAGGGCAGACCTGCCCACTGACACAGGGTTCTGTCGTTCAGCTCTGCTCTGAGGCCTCGGAGGAGCGGGCAGGAGCAAAGGACCTCAGGGCCTCTGAGGGCCGACCCCAGCAGGCTGCATCTCCTCTGGTTTTCAGGCACAAGATGGTGGCCTTGCCTCCAGTGACCCTAAACAGCCTGGCTTCTGCCTTCCCCCTCCTCATCCTCTCCCTCGGCCCAGAGGGTCTCCCAGGACCCTGAGGGCCATCCGCAGAAGAAGTGGGCCAGGTTGCGGGTCAGGCCACGGTCGAAGGGGTTGCTGGGGCGCTGGCGGAGATAGGCAATGCGGTGCGAGGAGATGAACTCCCAGGTGGTGGTGTTGCTGGCCACCAGGTAGAGGTGCGAGGCGAGAAGCAGGCTGGCCACCAAGGAGAAGAGGGAGAGCAGCAGGAAGGTGGCAAACAGCAGCCCGCTGGAGCGCAGCCATAGCCCCCAAGGCTGGAAGAAATGGAGGCCAGACCTGCACGGGAGGAGACAGATGGGGAGTAAGGCTGGGGGAGGGCAGGGGTACCCCAGGGAGCCCCGGTGGGCAGGCTGCTTGGGAGGAGGTCCGAGGGCACGGAGAGGGAGTCCCAGCTCTCCCCCCCACCTTGCGGATGGATGCTGCGGCCCTCCCCCCGTAGCCAGTAGTGGAACCCACCAGGCCAGGTAGAGGCTCCACAGAAGCACCACCAGCTGCAGCGCCAAGTAGGCCACGAAGAGCGGGTGGTTGCGCTCCCCCACGCAGTTCTCCATCCAGGGGCAGTGGTGGTCATAGCGGCGCACGCAGCGCCGGCACTCGCGGCAGTGCCGGGCCCGCAGGGGCTGCTGTGGGCAGGGAGGGAGGCAGGCTCAAGGCCAGTTCCCCTCTGGGCCCAAGACAGAGGGGAGTGATGAGGTCAGGAGGCTGGGGCCTCCATCAGGGAGGCCTTCCTGGAGCGGGGAGGCCAAGGCACGGGGCAGGAGGTCAGGGAGTCTCCACCTTGCCCCCACGCCCTCCCGTGGAGGTCCCGGTCACCCACCAGCACCAGGCAGTATCTGCAGCGCCGAAGGGGGATGGCTTGAGGAACCATGGCCGTCTGCTCCTCCTTCACCTCCTCCTGAAAGTGGGAGAGGGGTAGAAGATCGGGTTCCCTTGGGAGGCAGATGGTACCAGTGGACATTTCCCTTGGGGACTAGCTTAGCTCCGGGTCTGCGCAGTTGGGGGCCCATCCCCTGTGTCTTGGAGGGGGTTTGAAGGGGCAGAATGCTCTGGACTGAGTGAAGCAAAGCTGTGTGACCTCTACCAGTTGTTTTCCCTCGCTGGGCCTTGGCGATTTCCTCTTTGTAGGATGGGGCTCTAGGCTGCTAAGAGGATTCACTGAGGCGCCCCCAGCAGAGCACTCTGCACAGATCCTGGCATGAGACCGTTACGGAGGCCTCGCGTGTCCTGTTGGGGGGGAGAGAGGGTTCAGGCCCCCAGGGGCCCCCGGGTTACCTGGGGCTGGGGCTGGACATTCACATATCCTGGGTCCATGAGCGACACAGCCAGGTAGAGCAGCAGGGAACCCAGCACGAGAAGCAGGAAGGTAAGGGGCAGGAGCAGCTCCCCCTGCTCTTCCCACTGCCGCAGAGCTGAAGAGGCCAGAGGAGGAGAGTGAGGCTGAGGCCCAAGCTGAACAGGAAAAGGCTGTGTGTTGGGGGGTGTAGCTGAAGGTGGGGAGTCTGTCCCTGGCTGAACAGAAGCCTGGAGATGGGGCTTAATGAGCGGGCAAGTCTGCAAGTGTTGCCACTGCATAGGGTACAGGAGGGAGAAGTTTGGGCCCGGGGGGGCGGGGGCGGGAAGGCAGTTCATCTGCCTTTTACCTGGAAGGTGAAGGGTAGTAGGGAGCCATGGAGACTTATAGGGTCAGCACTGTTTCTGAAAACCCTCCTGCTGGAGAAAAGATGGATGGGGAAGCAGGAGGAAGCCTGGAGGCAGAGAGCTTATCCAGGAGGGAGAGGAGGGTAGCCAGACAAGGGCACTGGCAGGAAGAGTGCAGACGGGGGTGGACAGATAAGGGGGAAAGGGGTGAAGGGGCCAGACTTGACTAGATGTGTGGGAGAGGGAGGAGGGGTCCCTGCCTTTGGCTCCATGATGGGAGACCAGGCAGGTCTGATATGCCCATGAGATAGAGACAGAGGAGGGGCTGGCCAGGGACGATCCAATTCATGGGGGTGAAATGAGGATTTTGGGGGGAGCAGGGGTGAGGAGTGAGGTGCATGGGACAGTTAGGTGACAGTGTATGGACAGCTCAGGGGTCCCTTGGTTGTGAAAAGGAGCAGAGAAGGAAAGGTGGGTTGGGGGGCTCCTTTTTGATGGGGAGACGGAGCACATTTTTAGGCTTAAGGGTGAGGACTGTGGAGGAGGCTTGAGAAGGTCTTGGGAGGAAAGGGACAACAGCCCCAGTCCAGGGGCTGAGGCTGGAGCAAGGAAGGGGGAGTGGAGCTACCCTAGCTGGCAGGGAGGGAGGGTGAGAACTTGGGTTGGAAGCAGCCTGGCGGGTAAAGAGGGGAAGGATATTAGCCGGGTTAGGGACCACAGGGCAAGAAGTGAGGGCGGCGAAGTGAGGGGCGGGCCACTCCCCTCGGTGTCTTCTTGCCCCAGAGCGTGGGGAGCCCGGACCTGGGCAGCTAGTGGCCACGGAAATGGGTGGGGTGCCAGTCCTTGATCTACTTGATCCTCGGAATCTTACGGAGGGACGGTTGGGAGTCAGTTCCTGGGAAGGACCGGGTGGGTCCCAGGATCAGGGGAGATGGGGGCTCTGGTCGGACGTCAGATCTGGAGGGGACCGGATGGGTCCTGGGATGCACAGGGCATCTGGCAGGGATCAGGAAGATGCTGGGATTAATGAGGGATCAACTGGGTATTAGGCAGAAGGCAGGTGGCTCTTGGAATGATAGATGGGGAAGAGGCTCAGGAGCTAGCGGAAATGGGGTGAATCCCAGGATTTCTGGGGCTTCAGCAGGAGACCCAGTGAGACCCAAACGTCTGGGGAACCACGCGGGATTGGGTGGGTCCGGGGTCGCGCGGGGTCCGGCTCACCGGTATCGTGCAGGAAGAGCACCAGCGTGATCCCCCAGGTCAGCACAGTATGCCCGGTCCGCACCAGGACCCCTGGGCTGAGGAGCGCCCACGGCGCCATCTCCTCTGCCCGGGGCCCCACCCGGAAGAAGCGCCCGGAGGGGCGGGCCCTTCGAGGGAGAGGGGCCGCGGCCACCCGAGGATTGGTGGATCTTGGAGATAGGCGGGGCCTTATTGGGCCGGGGAGGCTGTCTATTGGATAGCATCTGCGGCCGCGTAGGCCCTCGAGCCAACAGGTGCCTGAAGAGGCTGAGGGCGGGGCCGGCGCGCGCGCAGCTGGTAACTCCCCCAGCCCCAGCCCCCACCGGCCAGGTAACTTTCGAAAGCCGAGGAGCAGGCGCGAGTCTCGACCCCGCCCCCTTGGGCTCCCACCCAGCCCTCCCCAACCCCACGACCTCGCGCATGCGTACAGTTCTCCGGGCGCTTCCATGTTCAAGGTGTTTGGTGTGACTCCAGGTTGTGGACATGTACTGGTTTCTAGGGTGTGATGCCTGAGGTCTCTAGGGGGGCAGGACTCGCCCTCGGATGCTCCGTGGTGACACCCTTACCTCCTCGCTATTGATTTTTAGATACTGCGAACAGGATGAGAGCAAAGTGGTCGTCCCGGGTGCAGATCCTGGGTACGAGGGGCTCAAGTGGAGTCAGAGTGGGAAATACCAGCACTGCCCCTTCCTATCTGTGTGAGCTCGGGCAAGTTACTGAACCACTCTGAGCTCTGTTTTCTGTCTATATAGTGAAGACCGACGATACCATCCCCCTGACAGGGTGGTTGGGAGGATTAAATAATGCAAGGACAGTGTCTAGTACAGGACTGTCATCTCCCCCGCTGTAAGCCAATACCTCACCTTGCTCGAAGGACTTGCCCAACCCGAGGCTTCGGGATATTCTAAAATGAAACCTCATCATCATTCACTGTTCACACTCCTTTAACTGTGTCCCCAGGGCACTCCCCATTCAGCTCTGCCTTTCCACCCACACTTGCCACTGATACCAACATCCACCTTCTTTCTCCAACAGATTGGCCCTATCGGCTCTTCCAGGACACTCTTCTGGCATCTGTTGTTTTGTCAGCTCAGCATCCCCTTTTCTGTTGGGGAACTGACTCTTCCCCATCTCATGTGGCTCTGGAGGAACTCTGTCCCTCACTCTACCAGGTGGCAGGAGACAAGATGTGGTCATGTGACTCTACAGGGCCAAACCTGGGTCCCTATATCAATGTCTCCAGTGATTGGTCCTAGGGGCTGGACATGTGACTCAGCACAGCCAATCAGAACAGTCTATAAGAGTACCTTATAAATGCGGAGAAAGGGGCGTTCCCTTGGATCTCAAGCATAAGAAATAGGATGTAGGAGCAACTGGCAGCTGTCTTTACACTACAAGGAGGGAGACTGTGCCAGGAGGGTATGAAGCCAACTTATAGAGTCACAGAGATAAGCAGCACTGAAAGAGGGAGTGAGAGAGTCTTACCAATGTTGTCTCGGCCCCTAGATCCAGCTATTCCTAGAGCTGATATTAATCTCTAGGTTCCCTTAATGAATTTCCTCCCACCTTTGACCAGCCTGGGTGGGTATTTGAGTTGAGTGACTGTCACTTGCAACTCAATCTTGGTTACTGCAATGGGTGACTTAGTGTGCTGA